GGGGGGGGAGCAGCGCCGTCCCGGGCGCCCTCTGCGCTCGGGGAAGGTGCGGGACGGCGAGAAGCTGAAGTGAAGAAGGTGCTCCACATCAGACTGACCCGGCAGGAGCCGCCCGCGCCGGTGAAGCGAAAGAAAAAGGCAAATTGTACAACTCGGAGAAGGGTGAGAGCTCTCCCCCCAAATCTAGGTGCGCCCATGCGCTCGGCACCAGCTGGCTGTAAAATGTGTGTAACCCGTGCTTTGGTGCAGGTGTGTGTTGTTCCGAAAGGCGGTGAAGAGCGAGCGCTCACAGGGCTGCGGGGAAGCGGTGGGCACAGCGCTCCGCCATCCCGAGCGGGCTGCGCAGCCTGAGGCTGCCCCCCTCTGATGCCCATCCCGGGGCTGCTCGTGCCCGGGCGGTTACAATGCCTTCCTGCGTACTTAACCACGTGTAACGGTCACGTCCAGCCGCCCCGAAGCTCGGACGCTCACACTCGTCTACAGCCTGCAGAATAGCTCAAAGTGGCTTTTTGCGCCCGTCAGGAGTCCGTGTTGAACTTCAGACTTCAGGGTCTATAGTGAGATGTCACACGGGCTCTCTTCTTTACCTCCTTCTTTTAGCCCAACCTTAGCTATCGAAACTGTCAGTCTGCAAAACCTCAGTGAGAGAAAAAGAGCTAGTCAAGTTCCATTGAAATACATCTCTCATGTTTCTAAGTGTCAGTCTAGAGGAAAGCAAGCAGGGTCTATGCTGCTTACAAGCAAATTGTTTTGTTGTCACTAGTGCGTAATAGCTGGATCAACACAGATGTCCTTCTGTTCAGCTTGGAGGAAATGACTTAGAGTCTTTGTTTTCACTTGGGGGATTTCCTCCAAATTACACTTTTGGCACTGCGGCCACGTCTCCTGTGCCCGTTACACTCCTGCTGAGCCCAGGGAGTCACAGCTGCACCCCTAGTGCGTGGGGCATCTCTGGTACAAGCACGTGGACAGTCTCTGTGCAGCCACTTCATGGTGACCCGTCCCACCAGCCTGCTCTCACCACGCTCCCTCCACTCCGTCCCCACACGTTTGTAACAGCACGCACACAGGTGCCCGTGCAGACCTCCTCACCCACTGTCACTGATGTGGTCAGTTTTGCAAAGCAGGCAACTTTTGCTTCATTTTTCAAGCAACAGCAGCTACAGCTTTCCCTACCCTGTCTGCTGCTGCTGTGGCTGAACAGTTGCTTAAGGAGGGACTTGGAATAGCTTTACCCCATAAGGTACCATTTCTGAGCTCTGGAAAGAAGTGTCATGTACCAAAGTGTGGTTATGCTACAAAGTGACTTGACCAGCAGCAGCTACATTACTCCTTGGACTTCACCCCAGAGCTGCAGCAGCAGCAAAGGGACAGCAGAGCACACCTCCGTGGTCCAAAGCAAGTGGCTAGTGCCATGCTGAAGGTGTCCTTCTTACAGCTACTGACCAGGAGTTAACCACTTTGATGTTGGTCAGTCAACCAACGGAGCATTTGTGGTGGAAGCGTGGACCACAAAGTTTTTTGGAAGCTTTACAAAGCTTGCCAGTTCTCAGTCCTAAAAATGCTCCCTCTTCCCCGCCCCCTTCTTCTACTGCAATGGCAGATAAAATCATCAGCAGGACAGCGGGATCAAAGCAACTACAAGATGACATTGCTTCTGAGGACAGGGATATGCCTCTGAGGGACTGAAGAGGGTTGGTCACTGCCTGAAGGCTGGGCTCTGACTAGCTGTGCTTGCCTTGAATTATAACTGCTCTGGGCTGGATGACAGCTGTGAGAGCAAGGAAAAGAGCTCTGCAAAGGCTGGGTGGAGAAGGATGAGGATGTGCTTAGCAGCCTTTGGGAAACTCCCTCTTAAATGCACACTGAGCGCATGCATTGAGGAAAGGCTCAAATGCTGTCAAAAGCTTTGGGAAAGCTTTGCGAAAAACTTGGGGAAAGCTTTCCAAAAACCTTGGGAAAAAACATTGCCCATTGTTCTGTGTGGCTTCTCATGGCTCGGTGAGCAGGGCAGCACCGTGCATTTGGATTTCTGCTGCACAGTTTTGGTTTCTCATGGCCTGTATGCCTTCACTTTTGTTAAACAGGGCAAGTGGTGTGATTTCAATTTGAGAGACATGCCAATCCTTGCACAGTGCCAGGGTTTGCAGAATTACTAGGGGAAGGAGTTTTCATTTTGCAAGGAGGGTTTTGTTTTCCTTCTGTACTTCATAAATGTCTAAAAGCACCCATCACCAGGGCTACTAGTATGTCCTGATGTAATGAATTTAGAGACCAAAAGTACTCTTTCAAATATTAAGCTTCTTTTATACAACTGTATAAATTTTACAGCCAGGAGGGAACTGAACTTCCCATTCAGGGGAATGTTTTGTCTTCAGGATTAAAAAAAAATCCACTTTGCAGGAAAAGTAGCAAGTTGGAACCAGAAATTATTTTATTGCCCTAAAATTTCACATGAAGAAACATTATGCAAATGTGGGGAATGCCAAAAGGAAGGGACATTTCAGGGCTTTGGTTCTATTTCCAGGAGAGCTCGGTGTTACTTGCTGTTTCTACCTTTTCTCTCCTTCCTCTTAGAAGTTCAGGACCCCTGTGGACTGGGGTGGTGTAGCATCAATCCCACCTCTTGGCTGCAGGGATCAGAGCACTTGTTGTCTGAACCTTTTCTTTGGTGAGCCCCCGGGGACTCAGTGAACTGAAATGCCATAGTGATCTTGCTCCGTTTTCGATTAAAGGCACTTGGCTCCCAGAGCTGTTGATTTTGCTCTACTGCAAAGGAAGGAACAGCAGTGAAGGGTTCTCGTGGCAAACCGTCCCTCTCTAGGAGGAAGTCTCCATTTCGGGAAAGTCTGAGGCTTATGAAATTTCAGGCCCATATATGGTGTAAAGTACCAAAGAGAGAAAGAAAAATATATAAGTTGGACAGCAACATTGATAGGCCATCTTTTCCAGCAGTTACTCACTTATTTATGCTTCATCATCTCATGGTCCATGTCCATTCTCTCTTTGGAGCCAGTGTTGCTTTTTTAGGTGAGCTCTTGAGTCCAAAATCCCCTTCTCTGCAATCTTTCTGGTCAGAGAGAAGCATCTCTACCAGTCCCATGGTCACAGAAAGGCTCTTCCTCTTTTTCCTTTTCGTGCCTGTCAAACCCTTTTTACCCTACTCAGCCCTTCTTCATTTCTGAGTGGCTTCTGTGAATTCAGTTGCAGATCATTTCCTCTGTTCATTTCTCTTCCCTCACTTGCTGTGGGCAGAAATGACAAACAAGTTTTTCTCACTCTCAGGAGGGAACCTTGTGAATGAGAGAAAAATTACAGTCATTCTTCATTGTCTGGTTTCCATATCAGCAAATGTGCTGCTTTTCCTTTCTCCAGAGCTTTTTCCCAGTTTTGAGAGATTTGGGGGATAATTCCATTGCACCACTGAAAGAAACTCTAAACATTGGAGTGTAATACAGACCTACCATAAAATATTCTTTCTTGCAGTTGATATTGTTGTCTTGAAGGTGGATGGAGGGACCAGCAAAATAGCTGAAAACCACAGGGACAGTGTTTGAATAAGGCTTCGTTAGGAGAAGAGAAACCAGGAGGCAGGGGAGCCATGGGCTCTCTATCTGGCAGACCAGCTTGCAAGGTGGGTTATGGATTGCTGGCAGACACTTTGAGCATGTTTGGGGGAGATTTGAACTGGGGGCTGGGGAGAAGAGCTCAGTCAGGTACCTCTTCATGCTGTGGTTTTTTGGTTCCACCACTTTCGTTGACAGTGGACACAGCAGTCACATTCACAATGATGTGTGGATCAATACCATAATACTCTACCAAAGTCCTGCCCAACTGGACAGAGGTCCATGTTTCGTCACCTTCTTTCCTGCGAGGCAGCTGCTAAATCCTCAGTTTTAAAGTGGTGCCATAGTATGCCTTTTGAACTAACAAAGTTTTAACTCAAAGTTTAAACAAAAATATCTGCACGTTGACATCTGGGCTCCAAAGTTTCTTGAATTTTTAGGTGTCCTCAAAGAGTGGAGAGGCCCAAGATCTCAGCATGACCCCAGTAGCTCACATGACCAGAAGGCCTAATGTCACGATAGACAAAAGTTTAGGTATGATGACTTTCAAGGAGTGCAGCTACAAATCAGATCATATGCAAACAATCAAAGACGACTTGGGCCATCCCATTATCAGAGAGCAAAGAGCAATAGTGGGTAGACAGGTGAACACCCCAGCGCTCCAGGCATGGATGTATTTGGAGGAACACCAAATTAAGTTTGTACAGAGACATCATGACCAATGCAAATATTATGCAAAGGAACTTATTGCAAAGGTTTTTTAAGGTACCAGATAGTAATGAACGTGCCAGAATAATTCAGCAGTTGCTTAGCAGTGAGAAATGCATCTTGCAGATGCAGATCTACAAGATGTATAGTAAAAATTTTGCCCAGTATGGTACAAAGACTATCACTTAAACCTACCATTTATGCCTACCATTAGAAGAGAGGAAAGGGCTTTTAAGATTTTGAGGGAAATGAGAAAGAAGAAAGATTGTGCACCTTAAATTGTTGCTACCTCCTGGTTGTCACATGGAATAGCTGGGCAAAATAAATACTAAAAGATTACTAGAAAGGAATGGAGCTAGTAATACTTAACCAGTTTACAGCTAACTTGGATATATTTATAGAAACTGTATTAATCTTACCTAACTTCATATATTTAATACGGATGTCTGTACATGAAACTATCATTTAGACTCCTTCCAAAGAGAGAATTCAGCACTTCTAGAGCCCAATTCATCTGACCTGTTTATTGTAGGATGAGATGAATTGTCCATGGGCAGGTATCTCCTTCTCGCAGCTAATCATTAAAAGCATGACGGC